CCCCAAAACCCCAAAACCCCGACAATGGGAATACATTAAAACCTTGGAAAATAATTAAATTCTTAATCAATGTGTACAAATTGATCATTTGATCCTAGCACTTTAGTCTAACATACTTTGTAGATTCATTTTTTAAAGAAGCCTCCCATTCCTAATTATACTGTGTCCTTTTATCTTAATGCTTTATCGTTTTACTTTTACTAAATGATTTGCTGCTTAAATTTATTAACATTAAAGCCATCTTTAAAGGACTTTAATCCAGATATAAGGCTGTTCGAAATTGGAGCTGGCTTCTTAAATTTAGTGTTTGGCTCCTCATTCTCAAGATACATAGAATCAAGGAATTTTTAGGAATCTTCCTTATTTTCTGCTGGTTTTGAGATTTTAATCTCAATTTATTTCTAAGAGTCATTTCCCAAAGTATCTTAAGAACTGATAAATAACTCGCTATCCTGATTATCAGAGTTACTAATGAGATTTAATTTTCTCTTTTTGGAATTATAAGTTATTACTCTTTAATCATCTGACTAGCTGTTGTTAGTATGCTACTATGAGAGAGGTATCTGATTTTATAGGAATAATTTAGGTATATCTTCCTGCTTGGCACTTCCAGTTGCCCCAGATGGCTTATGACTAATTTTAAGGCTTTACGTCTCGAACGAGCTTTGATCTCTTGCCTTTCTCTTTAGCTTTTCTATTCTTTTCTTATAATCATCTACTTCATACTTCATGACTTCAAGCCTATGATTCTATTAATCAAGTTCTGACTTAAGCTTTTGAATAGTTTGCTATTGCTTATCTTCTTGGCTTATTTAAATTCTTAAGTATTGGTACAAACTGTTTGCTATTTGCTCCTGAGTTTGATCAGGACTATTTTTGATAACCTACGCTAGGTTAGCCTTATTACTACATTTTTCAATCTATTCATGTATCAGATTGAGTTTTTTAATCTCAATCAGTTGATGCATAAGACTTTCCTTTTCCATAAGAAGAGCTTTTTTCTCCTTTACCCCTTCATCTACTACATAGGATTTAACCTCGATTTTATTTTCAAGAGCAGCAATCACGTTTCTCTGCTTTTTCATTTCTTCTCCTTAGTTCTTAACCTAAATCTTAAAGGCTTCATTTTGTTTTTCAAAGTCATTTTTCTGATGAGAAAGCCCTGCAATTTAAGTCATCAATTTTTACTTCTCCTCTGTTAACTCATAAATTTTCCTTTAAAGCACCAAGACATTTTTCTTTTCGTCATCAGTCATTTAGCCAAATAATTCCTTAGCCTCCAAACTCTCAGATGCTAACATAACTCATATTAAAGTAACTTAATTTACCATGAATTCCATATTTTATTTAAATAATGTTCTCCAGAAGTTAAGTCTTTCTGCAGAGTGGACATTGAGAACTCTTTTCTACTGCTTGCGTGATACTAATAATAAAAGAATAAGTCATGGTAAATCATTTACCATTAATGATGAAAAACATGACCACATTTTGTCACTGACAAAGTCTATGTCAAATCTTGTAAACAGATTGCGCATGTAGGTATCTGATATACCGATGAAGTCATTAACATTTTATTAGTTTCCCCCTCAAATTTTAAAATTAATTCTTTAATTCAGAGTATCTATATCTCTTTAATTATTCAGTTATTTTTCAAATTTTCTAGATTTATATAGGAACTTATGGGGTTTTGGGGTTTTGGGGTTTTGGGG